GAGGTCTTAACTTCTCATCAGGCATAAAACACGCAGCCTATGATGTCTTGTCTTCTCATCAGGCAAAAACACGCAGCCTATGAGGTCTTAACTTCTCATCAGGCATAAAACACGCAGCCTATGAGGTCTAAACTTCTCATCAGGCATAAAACACGCAGCCTATGAGGTCTTGTCTTCTCATCAGGCATAAAACGCGCAGCCTATGAGATCTTGTCTTCTCATCAGGCATAAAACACGCAGCCTGTGAGGTCTTGTCTTCTCATCAGGCATAAAACACGCAGCCTGTGAGGTCTTGTCTTCTCATCAGGCATAAAACATGTAGGCTATGAGGCCTTCCTTGACCATCCTACGGTCTCACAGCGCCATAGCGATATTAGCCAGAACTGCAACATGTACCGTTGGTGCGGTCACAGAGTTAGGCAAAACTTTAGGGAGACCGGTAAGACTGTCGCAGAGTTAGGCAAAACTTTAGGGACACCGTTGGGACAGTAACAGAGTTAGGCAAAACTTTAGGGACACCGTCGGGCGATCACAGAGTTAGGCAGAACTTAAGCGAGACCGTTAAGGTGGTCACAGAGTTAGGCAAAGCTGTGAGACCGTAGGATTTCTGCACAGAACAATTTCTGCACCTTTCTCTAGTATTGTGTAGCACTACTTTGTACCCGTACGGGTTCGCCCATGAATACTGTGTTGTGCGGTCGGAGCCATTTAAATCTCACGAACATGCAAATGACGGTAATTTCGTGCCATTTAAATCTCACGAACATGCAAATGAGATAATTTTTTATGAAGATCACGCCGTGTGGCGCTACACATGTCCATAAAACGTGACTCAAATGCTAAGTTATATATTTTGAAGTTTCTTCCGGTTCTTAAGAAGCCAACACGACCAATTCTACCGTGTCGGCATCAAACACAACCGGGCCGCCATGTTTGTTCACATGTTGAATAATAAACGTAGCGTGCCTTTCGTAGTAACATTCCCGAAAACGCCGCCGAAATTGCGGTTTCCTGTTATGATTTTTTGCTGAAATTGTGTTGTTACGATTATCGCTATTGTTGTAATTAATAAATGTTAGAGTATGAAATAGTCGTTCCCTTGAGTGCAAAACGTCGAAACCTGGCCAATGGACATGTGTAGCAGTGGCCTCTAGCGATTTGTTCCAAACTGCAGGGTCACATTTACCTGTGGCTGACGTAACTATGACGTAACTGTAGTAGTACACAACTTACAGTACAAGTATCAAAGCGCAAATCTACGCCGACTGAACATGCACCATAATTCAACTTTTACAGTCTCAAAACTGACGTATTCCTCTAACATTTACCACAGGTTCCATCTCGATGCCACGCACAGAACAATTTCTGCACCTTTCTCTAGTATTGTGCAGCACTACTTTGTACCCGTACGGGGTTCGCCCATGAATACTGTGTTGTGCGGTCAGAACCATTTGAGTCTCACGAACATGCAAATGAGGTAATTTGTACCATTTAAATCTCACGAACATGCAAATAAGATAATTTTTATGCAGATCACGCCGTGTGGCATTACACATGTCCATAAAACGTGACTCAAATGCTAAGTTATATATTGTGTAGTTTCTTCCGGTTCTTAAGGAGCCAACACGACCAATTCTATCGTGTCGCGCACCAAACACAACCGGGCCGCCATGTTTGTTCACATGTTGAATAGTAAAAGTAGCGTGTCTTTTGTAGCAACATTCCCGAAACCTGACCGAAATTGCGGTTTCCTGTTATGGTTTACCGTCCCATGTTTTTAGCTGAAATTGTGTTGTTATGATTATGGCTTTTGTTAGAATTAATTAGTGTTAGAGTATGTAATAGTCATGTACTTTTATATATAAGAATGGGGGGGGGCGGTCACGAGAGGCGGAAGATTAAAGCTTTCTCCTAACGTGGAAAAGGACATTTGTGATATGACTTTCTGGACTTTTGTAGCTATCCTGCACACAATCTATAATTCCCTATTATTAGTTTTTAATGAATGTGCTTAATTAGGCTAAAGAGCACTGCCTCTTGTCAGAATTAGGGGGGGGCGGTCACGAGAGGCGGAAGATTAAAGCTTTCTCCTAACGTGGAGAAGGACATTTCTGATCCGACTTTCTGGACTTTTCTAGCTATCCTGCACACAATTTACAATTCCCTATTATTAGTTTTTAATGCATACACGTCACTTGTAAGACCGAACCTAGAATACGCTGCGACAGTATGGGATCCATATACAAAGAAAGACAAAGACAAATTGGAAAGGGTACAGAATCAAGCTGCAAGATTCTGTATGAACAACTATGTAAGAGGTGCTAGTGTCACGGAAATGAAAAGAAACCTACAGTGGACCTCACTGGAAGACAGAAGAAAGATGTCTAGACTATGCATGATGTACAAAATGACTAATAAACTGGTGGATGTCCCAACTACTAAGTACCTAATACCAGCCCAGAAGAGAACAAGAAATAGCCACGCATTCAAGTACCAGAGTTATCAACCAAGGATTGAGGTCACCAAGTACAGTAGGGGCATTGTCAATAGATAGCTTTAAACAATGTCTAGAGCTAGAAGTTCAAGGGTTAGCAATAGGTGTAACAAGTCGATCGGTGTAATATAGCCAGCTGCCGCCGCGCCGCGTGCCTGCGAAGCTGGTGTGTTACGCCGAAAGGCGGTTATACCGGCTATACAGATACAGATACAGAATGAATGTGCTTAATTAGGCTAAAGAGCACTGCCTCTTGTCAGAATTGGGGGGGGGGCGGTCACGAGAGGCGGAAGATTAAAGCTTTCTCCTAACGTGGAGAAGGACATTTCTGATCCGACTTTCTGGACTTTTCTAGCTATCCTGCACACAATTTACAATTCCCTATTATTAGTTTTTAATGAATGTGCTTAATTAGGCTAAAGAGCACTGCCTCTTGTCAGAATTGGGGGGGGGGCGGTCACGAGAGGCGGAAGATTAATCCGCTAGATGCCGCTCGTGAGTCGTGAGGGGTCATGTTCCAGATTATTCTACTACAGCAGTAGGTAGCACTTTGAGTTATAGTATAAGAACAGGTTTCACAGTTCTAAATGTTGTCATTTCCCCCTAAATGTATCTTTTCCTTCAAAATAACGACTCTTGGAAGAGAATGGTCACT